AGCGCCAGCTCCTGCTTATAGAGGAACATCTTGGGTATCTTCCGCCCTGGTACTCGTATCCACGTTCTCTGTCTGGGCTGCGAAAACTTTGCTGATATGTGACTCGGTCGAAATGTCTTTTTTTGGCCCCCCTGTAGTTGCCGTTGGTGCTCTCTCGCCCGTCATTTTCTGGTCTCTCTCCGCGCTTTGCAGTGTATCGTCACCTTCTGCATATCACTGTTGATCTTGACCATCCTACTCTCGTCCGATGATCATGATCAAGTGCAAGGAGGAGGGTCATATTGAGGACGGTTTTTCATACTTTTTTCTTCACTACTAAGTCAACTAGCACAATGCACTCCTGTTTTTGAACCCTGCTACCTATGTTGTGCAGTCACGGGAAGTGCCTTTAAGTCACTGTATGAGCCATCTCACGCCAAATAAACCCCTACGATAGTGAATGGAAAAATAGTGCATGGCACATCTCGAAAGAGAATAGATCATTGACAAAAATGTATCCTTTTTTCTTTTATCATGTCATGTTTCCAGTTGGCTTTTCGTCACCTTTGTACGTTAGCGTTGTTCAGAGTATTCCGCTAGCTGTCACTTTAAAAGACTTCTCAACGATATTCCCTTATCATATCTGTTTCAATAGACAAATGGTGGTGGAACATGTCGGTGAGTAATAGCCGCTCGTTGTAACTACATCGTTCTTCATATTCATTATTCATATTGCACTTTTTTCTGGATCTTTTAATTAGATTTACGTTATAATTTTTTTGCGGTATTCGCTATCGCACTATTTTATTTCATTACTTACAATTGGGTGAACCCTCCAAACAGCAGTAAGCTAAAACTCTTCTTATACTGCTCTCTCGGTTCGCTTGGACGCGAAGACGAAGTAATAGATTTGCGAGGTTGTCCTCAGTGGTTACATACCTGGCGAAGGCGGCGTTGCAGTGTCGCACGCGCGCGATATTCGCTCCAAGGCCCAATCGTAACGGGAGACGGACAAAAGGACCGTAGTTTGCCGCTCCGCCGCGCGCGGCGATGTTTTTTGGAGCACCGGTTTTCACAAGAGCTACGAAACTGTAGACATTTTGACTGTGTTCCGATTCTAATTACCTGTTGTCGCCATCTACGACCTGGAACCATCGTCATTTGCGGACGCGACGTCGCACGCGACGCCCTCTAGCGCGGCAAATTACGATTCTTTTGTCACGTACTCAATTGTAAGTGATACAATGCCACAAAGTGCCAAGTTAATTGGCAATAAATAGCGCAATTGTTTGTGCTCGTCACCGTGCGTAAAGCTTTAGATACAGGGTACAGCATCGGGATTGGAGAAATAACTGTGTCATGTAACCCATCCCCACTCAAAGTTTCCCCGTTTGGTACAATCACCCCAGCCCCCCCCCCCCACTTCCTATCGTAGCTACCATCCTCTTCAATGCTCCCAATTCTCTGATATTTGAAAAAGCATTCCTGATTTTTAAAACAATTTGCAAAAGTCTTGCATACACGAGGTGAATTTCCTTCCGGAAAATGAACGATGTGAGATTTCAACTGTAGTTACTGCTTAGCTGTCCTGGCCCCTTCTTAAACGAAATTTAGCCATGCCCGCGTAGCTAAAACGATTTCTCTTGACATTTAATAGCTTTACAGTACATATTTGAAACAGTATATGAAACGTGAGCTGAGCAGATTTTTTGAAGTACCTCTTGAAATCCTTCCTTGTAGGTAGGCATTTGTTGGTCGAGTATGGGGTGGCAGACAAGAAGATGCTAAAGCTAAACGAACTAGTACAACTCATCCAACCGGCTGATATTCAGGTTATCTAGATGCTTCTCATAGGGCGTTTATTCCACTGTGTTTAACATTTTCAGCAGCTCACACACAAAAATATTATGACATATCTTAATACCCTATTTATATTCCAACTTAAACATCACTGTCAACGGAGTGAAGTGGAAAAGAACTCCAGTGAAGCCTTCCAACAACCGCTCTCACTCAAAGGTATGTCGTTTACTCACAGGGCACTCACTATAGGGCACATTATAGCCGTAAGGAGGATTGGTTGTTTAGCACAACTTTCCTTTACAGCTTTGCCAACCGCCGCAATCTCTAGTACTTCTTGACTCTAATTTTTAGTACTCTAGCCCTCGATCTGAAAGGCTTGTGTCGTCGGGAAGCTTCAGCCGTGATCTGCTTATATTCCTACCGAAAAGTCACCGATGGCGCAAATTCGTCGCAGCGATAGCTCGGTGAAATTGAAGCAAGGACCAACGTCCTACGTGGCACTGCTAATTCTGAAAGCTCGCCGTCACTTTGCTGATAAATACCAAAAAGAGTAGGGCATGAGGGAAAGCGAGAAAGTGTGGAAGATGAACGGTTAATAATAATACTGGCACATAGCGGCCTTGCTCTGTGTGAGGTGAATAGGCCCGCAGTTGCAGTAGCGTGCCTTTTAGGATATACAGGGGGGGGGCAAAAAAAAGTCATTCCGGCCGAGTCACATATGAGCGAAGTTTTCGCAGCCCAGACAGAGGAAGTGGATATGAGTACCAGGGCGGAAGATACCCAAGATCTTCCTCTATAAGCAGGAGCCGGCTGCCGCCATTCACCTTCATGTACACCAAAATATGAAGTCATCTCCAGTCGCGGCCTGAGTGGAGAACGCCTTTGGAATTCACGTGGCCTCCAAACGGAACTTCTTGAATGGAATCACCCATGGATAGCTACCTGGAGACCAGTACTCTTGATCTGGGAGATTTCTCACAACATCGACTAAACTCCAAGAACAACGTCTATCTATTACACCAGTCAGGACATCTTCACCCACCATTCCACCACACAACGGCAGACGAGGGTTGATGGTGTGGACCGGCCGTACCTGGAATGGATGAACCGATATTTTCTTCGTGGGCCCCAGACTGAGGGTGTGCGCTGGTGGCTACATCGAGCAACTCGAGGAGAATATCCCATCTTCATGTCGTCGCCCGTACCTTCTTGGAAAACTTTCGCCTACTTGGAATGGAAGAACGTTGAGTACCTGGAAAAGATGGAGTATTTAAGCGGGGGTCCTGAACTAAACCCCCTCAATTACTCGGTTCGGGCGGAGCTCAACAGGTGGTCTACAGTGGCGGAGAAAAAATCAAAACGAATCATCGCTCAAACTCCTGGATACCACCACATCGACTATCGGAGCGAGGTCGGCCTAACTGTGCGGATGGGCGCTCCTACAAAAAGACTGTGGCGGAGTATCATTATAGTATTTAATGTGCTCTTTAATATGGTAGTAAAATCCGATAAAAATTTAATAAAGTGTAACTTATAGCGCCTTAGAAGTCATGGAGGCAAAATGACTTTTTTTTTTGGCCCCCCCCTGTGTATACTCTCATGCTTCTCGCATACAAACGGAACCGAAGGGGAGGGGGTATTAGCGGAGTCCAGGTAATGGCTTTTTCCTTACTCTGGCTCGTTCGCATTTCGCAATGTTTCAGCATGGAACTCAGGGACCACCATACTGATACGTTCTAACCATACGAAAAAACTAACTTGCTGACGCCAGACCATCACCATTACGGATTCTCTACCTCTGACTGTGTGTCTGCTGCGCAATTCTGGTCTCCGGAGCTAATGCTCCCCAGCAAATATTGAGGAATAGCGAACGATGTTAATCGGAAGCGCCACTACCCTTCAGCTCTGTTATCCTGCAGAAAAAGGCAGGTTACTGCACTTGCGAGCCCATTCTTCCCTCACATGGCAAAGGCAGATCGCAGGAGACAGTGTACAATTAGTCGTGAATTGTAGGAGATCATCTCTCCGGAAGAAAAGCCAACTGTACTGTGAATATTGATTGCAGTTACACTCGAAATCCCTGGGATGCGGTAGGCGTGGCTGCGACTTCAAGCTAAACGTGGCGGTGCTGTGCTTCTGGTGGGATATTTTCATTTTGAACAATTGTGGTCATGTCTCTGTCACCACAGAAGCAAGATAACAGTTGTTTCAAGTTGAAAGTATTCTACGAGGAACCCACTTTATGTCATGTCCAAATGCCACGCCTACTCCGTCTCAGGGATGAGGAGGGTACCTTTGTGGCCCGGCACTGCCGACCGGATGCTCACTTCGGTTGACAAAGAGCTGTTCTATTACAGCACAATGATGATAGCGCTGGTCCTTGTCTTGTCCCATCCCACACCATCGCTACGATATCGCTCAGCACATGCCGCTTGTCACTTTCCCTCTCCCTTTCCTCTCCTGAACCCTTAACTCCAGCATAAAAGATGGCTGCCGCTACATACCGTTGCAGAAATGGCAACCTCGATGACCCAGATTTCCCCTCCCTTTCCTAATTACTATTGGGTAACTGAGAGCGTCTCCTCTACCAAGCAGCACAAATACGATTACCCTCACTGAGGATTTCTTGAAGGCAAAGCCCGCGATCATTCGTCAACACAGATAGTG